GCAGACAATCGACGGAATATGATGCTGGCGAGAAATCAGGAGGCTTACTTTTCATGTTTTACGTCTTGGATCACTTTCTATCCCGATTCATAGCATAAGGCATCTTTTGCTTGTGTTTTGCCCCATTGGTTTTATTGGTCTCCTGCTATCTTCCCCTGTCTTTACAACATGGACCTCAAACTCATTTCAATGCACCACGGGAAGATCTGGCACATCACCTTGAGGCCTGTAAAACATTCTCCAAGACAATTTATCTGATCGTTCCCATCCGCTATCCTGCTCTTAGTCAGCGTCTTTCTTACTCATCCACCCGTAGGAGTTATAGACCTATTAAGGCTCACAGGTGCTCTGTTGTCCCGTATCTAGCCAGATTTCTCACAAATCATGAACTCGTCGCAGAATATCGGCGTAAAATGATAATCCAAACCAATGATAAGTACCACGATATACCACTGGCTTTGTGATTCTGTCCGTTCCACGTTTTAATTGCTGTGTTATATTTCCCATTTTTGACACATTGCGGTTATTTGTTTCGCTGAATATCCAACCCTCGGGGTGAGTAAAGCGATTCATTGACTTGGGTTGAAATCAGTCACGCGGCTTCAGCATCAGGTCTTCTTTAGAAACGAATAATAAGAAAAAAAACTAATTGCCTAATTTATGTTTTCATCACCTTCTGCAGATGACCCCATGATGTTTTGATCGAAACATCGCAATAGATCGTCAACAGTCAGTAAGAGTGCAGCAATCGACAATACTTGGGACTGACAGATCGCATTTTGAATTATGTAACCGGTGCCCTTGAAAATGACACTACATGCATTAAGTGCTTAGCCTAATTACCGAATTTACAAACGTCGCATGATACTAGCCGAAAATCCCCAAAGCCTGCGAACCGATAGAAAAAACATTTGAACAAACCTGTAATTCAGATGTCGATGGGCAACGAGTNCAGATAGGCAGGCTTTCCCTTTAAAGGACGCTGATCCGGGGTGGCAAATAGATCCGGTGTCGATATTGAGGATTGCGCGGATTCCATACGTTTGGACTTCGTATAATCCAAGCACGAGGTGGAGTTCGACCGATTTAACGCTAATGACAGCTGTTCTTCGAGTGCCTGTATTTGTTCCGTTCGTTGGCTCGCTAAAGTTTCCGATCTTGCAGCCCGTTGAGCCGCTGCAGCATGCAGTTTGCGTAATCGTGACAATTCAATCCGATAGTTACGTGCCTTTTCGCGGGCGCTAGTCAGCTCACTTCGTAATACAGCTGTCCAGCGGCACAACGATTGAAG